AATTATAAATAATAAAAATATATATTTTAATTTTTATTAAAATAAATTTTCACTAACTAAATTAAAATTTTGAAGTATCTTTTTTTATTTATTTTTTACATTCTAATAAAAATACTCATGTAATTAGAAACATAAAGTTTTATATAAATATATAAGTACCCCTTGTTTAGAAAAATAATTTTTGTTTGTTAGTTTTTAATAATTTAAAATATAATAATAAGTGATTATTTCCAGAAGAAAAAAAATGTATATACTTAAAAAAAAATACACTATCTTCTTACAAAGAATCAAACAAACTTTGCTGTAACTTTAAAAAAAATCTAAAACACTACAACAAAATTCATTTTTACCGACAATTATTTACTGATAATAAATTAATTGCCTTTGTTTTATTATTTAATAAAAGTATTAGTGACTAATATATAATGGTCACTAAAAATATATTTATATCACACTAAAATTTACTATTAGCAACAATTATTTATTAAGAAAAACTTTAGTCCCACGTCGACTAGAAATAAGATAATTAAAGAGTATATAAATGAATAATAACTCTCACCTTACAAGTTTGTTATGTAGGATTGAGTTAGACCTATAACTTATTATTCTAAATTAGTATGAGATTACTCACTGTTATCAAGCTCAATAATCCTTAAACTTAAGGAGGTTGACTATTGATCAGAAAATAATATATATATATATATATATATATATAATTAGAAGATAACCTTCATCTTAAAGTCCCACATCAACTAGAAATAAGGTAATTAAAAAGAATATATAAGTAGAAAGACAACTCTCATCTTACAAGTCCCACATCGACTAGAGATAAAAGTCCCACATCGACTAAAAAGTAAAAAATGTCACAAAAAGATATATACTTTTTTCGACCATTATAAGGGTTTTTACCAACATTTTGAATAATTGCCGCTAAATGTTTTAGCGACACTGCAAACAATGGCTAATGTGAAAATGCCGGTAAAAGATTTTGTAACAATTTTTATTGTCACTAAAAGTCATATTAAATGCCACTAAAAGTCTATTTTGTTGTAGTGAAAGTTAAAGGTAAGGTTATTAATTTGGGTTAAATTGGCCAAATTAAGTTGAACAATTACATTTCAATGCAATGGAGATATAGTTGAATTAATTAATTAGATTAATTTAATTATTAATTGACAATTTGTTAATCCAATTTAGTGTTTTATTGATATACTACAAGAAAATTATCATATAGTGACATTAGGGATGACAATAAGCCCTATGGGGGTGGGTAGTAGTAAACCCGCCCCTGTCCTGCTGGATGAAAATTAGCCACATACCTACTTCATATTCGCGCGGGTATCCATTAAGCAGATATCCATGAATTTCTTGAATACTCATAGATATCCATGGATATCCATGGATATTTATAAATTTTTTAAGAAATAAAAAAATTATATTACAAATAATTTTATGTTTATATTTAATGTCATTGAAATATTAAAAATAAAATTTCAGTTTTAATTTTGAACTTGTATTTAACGTTAATTTTGTTGAAATAATAATAAAAATGCAAGATAATCAATAATTTAAAATATATCAATCTCACAAGTAAGTTACAATCTCATCACAAAACTACAATAATTCAATCTTATAATTCTAAACGAAAGTAAACAACTTGAAATACATAAGTTTTATTAGTCCAATCAAAGCTAGTAAATTAATCAAATTACATCCAACATAGTTCTATAACATGCTTAACACACGTTGGTAATTTCATCAACCTCACTTTTGTAACAAAATAAGATGAGAGTGTAATTTTAGGTTTATGTGATACAATGATAATTAGGATATTTAAGAAATATTATTAAATGGGTACCCGCGGGTATGGATATCATACCCGCCCCCGCTCGTTTATAAACGGACAAAAAATTATCCGTCCTCATTATCCGGAGGTACCCAATTAACGTATCCATTTATTATTAGTAGCAAATTTTCCCCGCAGATACCCGTGGGTGTGGGTATTTTTGCCATCCCTAAGTGACACACACCCTATAATGATACTTTATATATCACTAAAAATTACTTTTACCTACATATTAAATACAAGTATGTTGATATATTGTTATAAAGTGTGGGTATAGACTATAATGACACACAAAAATATGTTGTTAAATCTCATTCAAAATCAACACTAAAATTGTGTGTAACATATGTCAAATAGATATATACTTAATATATTATATTTATAATGACACTTTTTGTATGTTACTGTAAGATGTGATAAATCTCACCACAATTTGTGTGAGGCACTCTACTAGAACATATTAATGGTTTAATAACAAACAAGAAATCAAATATTATAAACTGTTCTTACCGGAGATCGATCGTAGGGACGATCTGCTGGGCAAGATTGGTGAGCCTCCTTCGCTGGGTACGCTTGTTGTTCCAAAGTGGGGGTGGTACCTGCAAAAGAGACTTCGATGCTAAAGTTAGTGTTTGTGGATGTATGGGTCTCGTATAAGTAATGCACGTACCTTTGTGTGAATTAGGGTTCCGAGATCAGTTATGACCTATTTAGACAGTGGGCCTTATCTTGGCCGATGTCGCCTAGCGCGTGTTTGATGTCAATTTGCGCTGTGATGCCGAGTTCGAGCTCGGCTTCGCGGTACGGATAGTACATAAACCAAAAGTCTATGTATACTATTTGGCCAGCCACTACATAGTATATTTTGTAAGATTTCAAAACAAAAAGAATTAACTAGAAGTCATGCAAATAAGAACTATACATAACTAAGAACTATACTACACATTTTCTTTTCACTTTATGTTTTCAACACCATAACATATATTAAAATATAGAGGAAAGAATAAGAAACATGAATCTTAAAGGCACACAACAAGATTTGGTTCATAGAATACTATATATAAAAACAATTGAACAAAAAATTTCAAGACAACATAGATCTACATAAATAGCATATAAGAATTAGATCTATACAACAACAACATCACAAGAAATTTAAGAACATGTGAAAAACACAAAAAAGAAATATAGAACCTCCATGGATGAAACCAAGGCTCATGATGCCAAAAATGATGAATCTAGTGGAGAAGAAAAAATCCAAATCCTCTCAACTAGCTTTATTGATCCTCCAATCTTTATCCATTGACTCAAGCTTCATAAAACCAAAGCAAAAATGGTGGAAAGGTAGAAGAGATGGTGCACCACCTTCAAGAGAAGTATGAACTTGCCACAAAGAGGAAGTATTTGATAAAAGTTTTTAAGGCTCTCCAAGGAGAAAACTAAGCTTTTGAAGAGAGAATTTTAGAAGTCTAATTCTCATTCACATTAAATTTTTTTTAAAAAAACAAAAAAAAAAAATATATATATATATATATATATATATATATATATATATATCGTAATTTCATTAATTAAATTTAAAATCTACTAATTTAAAGGTTTTTTTTATAGAAAAGAGAGAGATAAACCCTAAAATAGATACAAAATAATTTTTGTAACTTTATAAAATAAATAATGAAATTACCCTTTAATAATTTATCATAACACTTTTTATTCACATCTTAATATAATATAACCTTAATAATAATAATAATAATCATGGATTCAGAAATTTTAAGTAGTGGGGATAATATTTAAACATCAATTTATAATATTAAATATATAATTTCATATTTTTATAAATATAAATACACATCAGATTATTTTCTATGAGATTGTATAATTTAAAAATATTAAATGAATTTTTTTTATTTTAAAACTTTCAAAAATATTTCTTTATATTAGTAATTAAATGATTATTTAACCATTTATATCTTATATATCAAAATTTTATCTTTTCTTTTCTTTTCAAAAATAATATAACATGAACTTGTGTCAGTCATCACTCATTAATTCCTTTACTAGCAACATGCAAAGCAGTGAGAAGAGCAGTAGGCTGGTGATGAGCGAGGGCATAACGCGGATTAGGCTGAAAAATGCCATTCTGTGATCTAGTCTGCATAGGAACAGCAACCGGGGCTGGTTGAATAGAAGCATCAGAAGAAGCAGGCAACACTATAGGAGAGGCCGATGCTGGGGATGGAGTTCGTGGAGGAGAGACAGGTTCCGATTGATAGGATATTAGTCCTGATAACTAGCTCTTAATAGTTACTATATGTAACATTTATTGTAATGGTAGTATGTCAAACAATTGTATCCATTAACAAACTTGCAATGTATAAAAATTATTTTAAAGTTATATAATACTTGTTATTAAAAAATTATTTTGTAATGAAACACCTAATAAAAATATAATATTTATTACTAAAAATTATTTTTATTTACATTGTAGATACAATATATGTTGATATATTATTAAAAAATATAAATATAAATTATAATAATATAAATATATGTTGATGAACCTCATTTAAAATTAACACTTAAATTATGTATAGATATATGTCAAATTGATTTATATATACATATTATATGACACTTAAATTTGTTTGTTGTTATATGTAATATATTTTTTTTTTGTAGTGTTTACTTTTCTTTTTATTTTATTTTAAAAAAATATAGATGTTTTAATCACAAATGGCTCCAAAATGAAAGTTTAACAATTAATTTTAAAATTGACAACAACTTTGTGGCCGATAGTAACTTAACATTGAGAGTGAATTCCCTAACTTTGGATATACTTAAAAAAAATATATATATATTTGCTTCGGTACCATTTTTTTTAAGGTGTTTCGGTACCCTTTATTATCCTTCAATGACTGTTTGACACGTGCTATTCTTTTTCACATCAGACTTGCAATGTCATTTTTAATAAAATGTTTGTTTATTTTTCGTAATATATTATTTGATTTTTGTAATGTATTTTTTGAAATTTCAAAACCATCATGCACACCTCAAAACAACTATGGGGTTGTTTCCTCGAAACCATTTGGGTAATCCAAAGCTATATACCCGCTAGGAAGTGAGTTATTCATTCATCCATGTTTCATAGAGAATAAGAGCAGTTGTTAGTTAGTTTTCTGTTAATCCGTTTGAGGCTTATTTTGGCTGACTCTTATTATATATAAGTGTGTAGAGGCTTGCTATTTGAAAAATAGAGAATCATTTTATTCAGACATTCTTTTTCTCCTCCACTCTCTTTTCGTTTTATGGTATCAGAGCGATCTCAAGGAAAGCTCCGTCGTGCCACACTCTGATCCAACATGGCTGAAGAAGAAAGTTCTTTAAAACAAACCAACATCAAGAAAGGAGATGAGTCACAGAATCCCAACAGCCCCTACTACCTTCATCCGGGTGAAAATATCAACACCCTCACTGTTTCCCCTGTTCTTGATGGCCCAAATTACCATTCTTGGAGCAAGTTAATGAAGAGAGGACTTCAATCAAGAAACAAATACAAATTTGTAGATGGAACGATCAAAGAACCACCAGCCAATGACTTCTTGCATGATGTTTGGATAAGGTGCAATACTATGGTCATTTCTTGGATAACTCGATCTGTTTCTTTGCAGATTGCACAAAGCATTGTATATATTGACAATGCAGAGGACTTATGGAAGGATTTGAGAGACAGATTCTCGAAAGGAGACCATTTCAGGATGTCTGACCTCCTACAGGAAATTCACTCCATCAAACAAGGAGAAAGAACTATTTCCACTTATCATACAGATTTAAAAACTCTATGGGAAGAGTTAGAAATCCTGAGGCCCATCCCAGCATGCTCCTGCACAGTAAAATGCACCTGTGACCTAGTGAAAACTGTGAGAAATTACAAGGAAACTGAATATGTCATCTGCTTCCTCAAAGGCTTGAATGACTCCTACAACACTGTCAGATCCCAGGTACTAATGATGGACCCTTTACCTAACATTAACAAAGTTTTCTCTCTTGTTTTGCAACAAGAAAGGCAGGTCTTAGGGAACTTGCTTCAGGAAGTCAATCTGGTGGCAAGCATAACAAACAATAAACAATCTTTTGGAGGAAGAAATGGATCCTCATCCGGAAGAGGAAGAGGAAGATTTAATCAAAGGAATTTTAGCAACCAACCACAAAAAATCTGCACATTTTGTGGAAAAGAAAGGCACACAGTGGAGACGTGTTATTTCAAACATGGATTTCCTCCGAATTTCAATTTCAAAGATAAAAGACAAACATCAACTGTGAACTCCTACACCTCAGATTCCTCTACCTCACCTAACACTGTTGAAGGCAGTGATCACAAAATTACTGGAAAGGAATACACTGAGGTAAGCAGTACCATTACAACTGAACAATATAATCAACTCATGGAGATACTCAAGGGATCAAATGTAAGTGGAGAAACTCATGCTGTAGACAATCTCCAACAACATCCAGGTAATATCTTATCTACCCAAAAAGAGCAAAAATTACCTGATAATGTTTGGATACTGGACAGTGGCGCCACTGACCATGTATCCAACTCACTTTCTTGCTATGATTCTTATAACACCATTGAGCCTATAAGAATTAAATTACCAAATGGATTCATTACTCAAACACAGATTTCTGGTACTGTTGCTTTCTCTGGCAGATTTTTTTTACAAGATGTCTTATACATCCCTGATTTTAACTACAATATTATATCTGTTGGTAAAATTGTTAAAAACTTCAATTGTAAAATTGTCTTTGACAAGCTGTGTTGTTATATCCAGGATCACAACAACAAACTGATGATTGGTCCTGCTAATCTTCAATGCAATCTGTATATCCTTCAAAGGCAAAATTTTTCAGAGAATAAGATCGTTAATTCTGCTAGAACTTCCAGTGACAACAATATGAATAATTCCAATTTTGATTTGTGGCATTATAGACTAGGTCATCCATCTGATTCTGTTTTACAACAAATAAAAGGACAATTTCCTTATGTTAAGTATGATCACAAACTTGTCTGTGACTATTGCCATTTAGCAAAACAATGCAAGTTATCTTTTCCTATTAGCATCAACTCTACAGCTTCTTGTTTTGATTTGATACATATGGATATTTGGGGTCCCCTTTCTATTTGTTCCATCCATGGCCACAAATATTTTCTAACTATAGTGGATGATTTTAGTAGAAACACTTGGGTTTTCCTTATGAAAGCTAAATCTGAAACCAGGACCCTTATCCAGAACTTTATCTCTCTAACATTTACTCAATACAAAAAGAAAGTTAAAATCATAAGGTCTGATAATGGCATAGAATTTCGCATGCCAGATTTTTATAACAGTCAAGGTATTATACATCAAACATCTTGTGTGGAAACACCACAACAAAATGCTGTGGCTGAAAGGAAACATAGACACATTCTAAATGTGGCCAGGTCTTTATTATTTCACTCCAATCTACCTAATGTTTACTGGTCATATGCTGTTCTTCATGCTATACATCTAATAAACAAGTTACCCACTGCTGTGCTGAAAGGCAAATCACCTTTTGAAATACTCAATAAAAAAACCCCAGCTTATCTTGATCTAAAAGTCTTTGGCAGCTTGTGTTTTGTTTCTACACTTACTCAACATAGAAATAAATTAGATCCTAGAGCTAAGAAATGTGTCTATCTAGGAATTAAAGTTGGTACGAAAGGTTACATTGCCCTAGACTTAACCACTAGAGAAATTCTTATTTCTAGGAATGTGATTTTTTATGAAAATATATTTCCTTTTCACAAGGTTCCTGACATTAATAAACAGGTTGATTCTCAGGTGAGTGAGAATTTTGATTTTCTATCAATTGATATTGACCTACCCAACAATTATCCTATGGAGGATGATGTTTCTGACAGCCAGCTTGGTTCCCCTACACCTCCAAACGTTGACCTTCGAAGATCAACCAGGCATAAGCAAGCACCAACTTACCTGACTGATTATCACTGCAACCTTTTACAAAATACTGAAATTCATGATTCTAACAATATAAGGTATCCCTTGTCCTCTGTTTTATCTTATCACTCTCTGAATCCTGAATTTTTAAAATTCAGCCTTTCCATCACTACTGAACTTGAGCCCAAAAACTATCAACAAGCTGCTCAATTCCCTCATTGGATTAAAGCAATGCAAGATGAACTTGCGGCACTAAAAATGAATAAAACTTGGTCTTTAACCCCTTTACCCATAGGAAAGTCTGTTATTGGATCCAAATGGGTGTACAAAAACAAATATAATTCGGATGGGACCTTGCAAAGATATAAGGCCAGATTAGTGGCAAAAGGGTATAACCAAACTGAAGGATTGGATTACTTCGACACTTTTGCTCCGGTAGCTAAATTGACTACTATAAGGCTACTCCTTGCTATTGCCGCTACTAAGAATTGGGCTCTTCACCAACTTGACATCAATAATGCCTTTTTACATGGTGATTTAACTGAGGAAGTTTACATGGAAATTCCACAAGGACTTGCTGTTTCAGATCCTGCAATGGTTTGTAAATTACACAAGTCTATCTATGGCTTGAAACAAGCCAGTAGACAATGGTTTGCTAAACTCTCTACTTTTCTTTTTAATCTTGGATACAGACAATCTTGTTATGATCATTCCCTTTTTATTAAGAAGTTTAATTCTAAGAGTATCATCATTTTAGTTTATGTTGATGACCTTATATTGGCAGGAGATGATGCAAAAGAAATTGCTTCTGTCAAACAAAGCCTTGACAACACCTTTAAAATCAAGGACCTTGGCAGCCTCAAATACTTCCTTGGTCTTGAAGTGGCAAGATCAAATTCTGGTCTTACCATATCTCAAAGAAATACACTTTAGATCTAATTTCTGACTTTGGTTTGCTTGCAGCTAAACCAGCCCTTACACCTATGGTCAAGACTACTAGACTAGCTCATGATGACAGCCCATCTTATGCAGACACTACTGGATACAGAAAGCTGGTCGGGAGATTACTCTACCTCACCAACACCAGACCAGATATTAGCTTTGCTGTCCAACAACTCAGTCAATTCATGAGCAATCCAACTGAGTCACACTACAAAGCCTGTATTCGTGTCCTCAGATACATAAAGGGTTCTCCAGGACAAGGCATATTTTATTCTAGCAATTCCACTTTACAACTAAAAGGATTCAGTGACTCAGATTGGGGCACATGCCCAGATTCTCGAAAATCTATCACAGGTTACTGCATCTACCTAGGGAATTCTTTAGTTTCATGGAAATCCAAGAAGCAACCTACAATTTCAAGATCCTCTTCCGAGGCTGAATATCGGGCCTTAGGTACTACTGTTTGTGAATTACAATGGTTGACCTACCTATTGGATGATATTGGAGTTTCCCACATTCAACCAGCACTTCTCTATTGTGATAGTGCATCAGCCAGACATATTGCAGCTAATGCAGTATTTCATGAAAGAACCAAGCATTTGGACATTGACTGCCATTTGGTTAGGGAGAAGCTTCTAGCAAAACTTTTCCACCTTCTTCCTATTAATATCAAATAGCAACATTTTTATCTATTTACCAAGCCTCTTGATCCTACTCCTTTTTCTTTTCTTCTTTCCAAGCTTGGAGTTTTAAATATCTACTCTCCAACTTGTGGGGGGTATTAGAGAATAAGAGCAGTTGTTAGTTAGTTTTCTGTTAATCCGTTTGAGGCTTATTTTGGCCGACTCTTATTATATATAAGCGTGTAGAGGCTTGCTATTTTAAAAATAGAGAATCATTTTTTTCAGACATTCTTTTTTTCCTCCACTCTCTTTTCGTTTTAATCTCCATTAGTGTTCTTCACAACATCTCACGTTGTCCCAACAACATGTTCCTTGAAACCATTAATGGTAAATGAAACCGTTAAATCTTGATGTCAAGTGTGTATCTCATTTGTTGCGTTTTCATTTGTTTGTCTCTGTTTTTTTTACAAGATTCGTGGATACTCCTATGATGCATAGTAGTCCGATTTTAAACAAGATTCTAAATGCTTACTATTGTGAGCTCCAACGTTGTCTGTTTGAATCAGCTTGTTCGACAATGTGACCACCGTCTGTTGTCGGAGGAGAGGTTTCCAAAAACACAAATGCACAAATGAAAACGAAATGATAAAAAATAAAAAAATAAATAAACACCCACTTTTATCATGGTACACGGATTTGTTTTCCAAATGTGGCTTTAAGCCACATGGTTATTTTGAGGTCATATGGTAATTTTGATATTTCATATAAATACATGTACCAATTTCAATATTAAAATAGAAAATGATGACTTGGCCAAATTTGGTGACACGATGTAAATTCAACTTACAGAACCAAAACTCCCAAATATGTGAGGGTACCCTAAAAATTCCCTAAAAGAAATAATTATTTTATAATATTACGACTTTTGGGTAGGGTGGATCAAGAGATCCAACTGAAGTGATTTTCCTATAATATATATATATATTGTTCCGGTATACTTAAAAGTCTCACATCGCTTAAGAGTCGATGTTAAGGATAGTTTATAAATATTCTTCCTCTTTAACCCACCGAGGTACCTTTTCAAGGGCAAAATCATGACGGCTCAACGAGCACCAAAGCGGACATGCGGTAACCCTAACGATGACAGCGGACTTATGGTAGGATCATTGGCGCTAGAAGGAGGGCCCAGGCCACTCTTGCCCCTTAGCATCGACTGAGGGCTTGTTCCGGTATACCTAAAAGTCTCACATCGTTTAGAAATCGATACTAAGGGTAGTTTATAAACACCCTTCCTCCTTAACCCACGGTGACCCTAACGATGACAGCGAACTTATAATAGTATATATATATATATATATTTGATATGCTGTATCTAAAAGTTAGTTTAACATTAGGAAGAAAATTTTAAAAGTAATGAATTATGATTTGGAGTTTTTAAATATAGTTAAAATTTTCCAATTAATAAAAAAATTAAACTAAGAGTAATAAATTGTTAATATATTTTAAATATTTAACTAATTTTATAATAAAAATCTTAATTTTTATATTTATTTTTGGCAAGTCAACCTACGATCTTATTAAGTGGAATAAGTCAATTTTTTTTTTTATCTCATTTATTAAGAAGCTAACAAGCCTACTAATTTTTGCCGTAGTATTTTAAGTTTAAATATCGTTTTTCAAATGAACCTATGAAATATTTGACAATTTTGATTAAATACAGCTACCTAACTTACGTAGACTAAATTTTAACTTGTTGAATGAATTAACCTTAATTAAACTTCAAAACAATGAAAAGGCACACATAAACTTATAAATTCTTTTTTGAACTTTTATCAAATACACAACAATACAATATGAAAATCAATAGGAAAAAATTATTGGGATTAATTGGGACTTCACTAAATCACTGTCACGTATATATTAACATCTCAAAGGATATGTTCATCTATATTATCCACCATTCAACCTTATATCATCATATATTCTTAAAGCCTAATCCCTTAAAAGTTTGAGAGAAAATAATTCACCCAAATCACTAATCTTTAACTAAGTGAATGAAATACAAACATTACAAACAAATAAATTAACATGAATGTCTATTAAGTCATATTTATTCCTAAATATCATATTCATTGGGTGTTTTAACTCATACATAACTCAATAAAACATAAGACATAAAACATATAGTCTAATGAAGCATAAGTCATGATGATCATTGAAATTGATGGTGAAATGAAAAAAAAATGATGAATAAGCCTCCAAGAGCTTCTAATCGTCACCATTAGCCTCCAAAAGTATTTCTTCAAAGATAATATTGAAGGTACAAAAGTGGGTGTCCTAATTTATTTTATTTTATTTTTGTCACTTACTCATGAGTGTCAAGTGCACTTTCACTTAGTAAGAAACTAGGTCTCATTAAGTGAGATTCTTGGATTTGAAATGGGATCAGACAATCAAGGAATTCTACTTAGTGAAAATTGATGTCTCGTTAAGTAAAAAACTTTGACTTGATCTTTAATTTGTTGACTCTTTAGTTAAGTTAGACTTGTGACTTGACTTAGATAAAGTACAATTTACTCATGAAATGATCTTTAAAGTCTTCCAAATTTCTTCTTCAATCTACAAAAGAGAATCCAAAAAGTATAATTAACCTATAATTAAAATTAACTTGAGTAAAATAAAAAAAAAACTATGAGAAATTAGACTAATTTGAAGCCAACAACAAAAGAAATTAGCTAGGATAATTACTATGATTTATATACTTAAAATCAAATAGATCAAACAATTATCACCCTCATAATTGTCTGATCAACCCACCTTGTCCTATTTTCATAGGCTAGTGGTGAATTTGGTCAAAATGAGTCGATCTAACTCGCTTCATTGTCCTTATTTTTAGTAACCTGAAAATATCAAGATGCTGGGTCAAAACATTTTTTTTTATTTACAATCCTATAACAATTTTACTATATTTATTAATATGTTTAGTTTTAAGAATTTATTATTTCAAAAATAAAATAAAAATATATTATTATAATTATGAATTTTCTTTTTGGTACAACTCTATAAAAATTAAATTTAAGACCATGGTTGATTAACTTATATTTGTTAAAATAAAGAGCAGTGCTTCATCCTCCAAAAAAACGTCTGAATCACGTTCCGAAAGGTTAAAATATTATTATTTTATAATAAAATAATTATACAATAATTATTTAATTTAATATTTTATAATTTAAATTAATATTTTATTTTTTCGGAATGATTTTTAGAATCCTTTTCGGAGGATCTATCATTTTTCTAAAATAATTAATCATAAATGTGGGATTACTTTTTTAAAGAATGAATTTAGGATTTATTCTTATTAAGGTGCTAAGATAAGAGGCCATTTGAGAATAAGAGTATGTTTGACAAAATATTTAAGTGACTTATAAGTTTTTATTGACTAGTTTTTAAATTAAATTGATCAAAAAAAGTTTGTTTGGTACAATAACTTATTTTAAAAGTTTATATATTTTTTCATAAGCTAATTAAAATAACTTATTGCTCACAAACTTTTACTTTTTTTTTATCTTTTAATTTACTTGATTTTTTTAACCTTTTTTAATTTATAAATTTTTTTAATTATCTATCAATTTCTCATTCTCATTATCAAATAAATAAATATATCTTTTTAAGTTAATATTCATTTAGTTATCATTTAATCTTATTAAACACTTTTAATTTAATCAGTTAACTTACAAGTTTTTAGTTTTTCAACTTCTAACTTATACGGGCTCGTATTAGATTCTCTATGAACTATATTCAAACTTTCTATTACAAATACTATGATTTCGAGAAAAGAAATAGAGTGAATAAAAATAGACTTTTATATAATAAAAGGTTTGAATTATTTTGTTTAAAAGAAATAGAACGAACATAAAACATAAGTAATATGATAAATTTGTTTAGTTTTAATGAAATGAAGAAATTGAAATATTTGTAAGATTAGTATTATGTCCCTTTTAATATATGAATATATTACCTGCGATTACACAAAAATCTCACTTTTGATATGTAAGATACACAGAAGATTTAGTACAGACACAAAAATAAAAACGTGATCAGTTAAAAATTAATACTAATCAATTAACCAATTTAGAGAAATTTCGTTTTTGTAAACAATTAAGAACAATATGTGAAGCTCCAATAACATACATCACTAACACTATAGTGACTGGAACTTCCAATTTCAATCGATTAAAACTATTTTAATCGGTTACATCCACAAAGACACATAATCTGATTCTCAAATCAAACAAATAAAGACAAAAAGCATTAGAGACGAGGCTAAAATAGTCACACGTAAATAAGCATTTTATTTCTCACTTATCTATGCTAGTTTTTGAGTGAGGAAAAATAAAATGAGTGCTACATGTCTACAAATTATCTCTCCTCTATTTCATCTATACAACAACTCAACCTTTTAATTTCCCACCTATTTTCTAATTTCCTATTTATTTCTATACGAGACCAAATAAAGTGTAAGTCAACTCTAATGAGTTTATTATTATCCTAATTATTGAGGGGGAAAAACAATAAAATAATGAATTAAGACTGAAGAGGGGAAGTGACTCAAGTGATTGGCTCCTTACCTCATTAAGAAAAATAAGAGAGTATAAATTACATTAAACAAAAGAAATGAATATTCTACAATATATAATCTTCTTTAATTTTCTTATTTGTCTTAAATAAAAACAAATTGGCGGCAGGCCTACAATGATATAAAATATATTACTATCATAACTAACAAATTCGTTGTCAGGAAACAATATAAAAGACATTTAATAAAATTACATCCGCTAAATTCTGCCACATATATATATTCTCTACCAGAACCAGCAACACATTATCTATAATCTATTGTCAAATGTAGCTGATACTCTCACCAAGTACCAACCACAAATTAACTAACATATGGGGTTATTAACCTTGTAGCACCCAGTTATAATAAACTATATATGTTATTTATTTCTCTTCCAGTGGTCTCTAATCATTTGCAACCACACATCATTCTGCTTGTGCATGGCCCAGCATCTTTGAAGGGTCACTTCGTTTGTTTCTTTTCTCGCTTTTCCTTCTTTTCATCCTTTGTTTTCTTCACCTTTTCTCTTCATCAACTGTGCCTTCACATTTGCTTCACCCTCCTTTACACATGCAAATAGTTAATAATACGTCATCAATATAATGATCTCCACTGGTCGAGTCTCTTTGGCTTTATCTTCTACCTTAAGAGTGCGCCTCTGAATGTAGGCGTCCACAATTCAGCACTAGCAGTGGTTTCTGTTGCCACCGGAAACGTGCTTGATATCGGTACCAGACATAGCCCTCGGCTTTTTAAATCTTCTTGTGGTCCTTCTGACTCTTTCAAATCATCACAGCCCTTGGAACAAATATATAAATAATGTTTTCAACCATAGTAGAAATAACAACAAATATTAAAAGACCAAAATGTCACACTAATAATAAAAATATATATTAATATTAGTCATTACTCATTAGTATTATGTACTTTTTTTGGGTGAGATATATTAATTAGTATTATCGTTAGTGTTATTAAACTATTTATGATGACTATCAGTATATCAGGTGTGGAGAATTTTATTATAAAGAGGGTAAAGTGAGTAAACTTTGGTCATTAAATCAAATAATAAAAGGTTAATATGTGAATCATTTAAATAGTTTTGTCATCATTAAATAACTTTTAATCCAAACGTATAAGGTTAATATGTGAATCTTTTAAATAGTTTTGTGATCATTAAATAATTTTTATTCCAAACGTATAGTTTATATTCACTTTTTTTTATCCTCTCAAACAAACACTTATACATATCCATGCACCATGTTCTTAGTCTAAACTCACAAGTGATGAGTAAACAATAATAGTTATGTAGATATATAACTTACTCTAAACTTATAATCTATACTAATAATTTAATTTTAATTAAAGAAAAATTATAATAATTGAAAGCAATACTAATGATTAATATTGTTCTACTATTAATAATGGCATTCATTTGGTAAAAGAAAGAAAACTATTACTAGATATAAGTATTTTGGAGTACCTGTTGCTGTTGAATGGGAGCTCCATTTTTCATGTATGAAGTACTCAAACCCTGTAATTCAAGATGTGAAGATAAAATTTTAAACGCAACATAAGAAAGGCATTATAATTAAACTTGCCTTTTAGAAGATTCATATATGGTACTCAATAATTAGGGTTTTCTTCAAAACAATGTTGGATCAATGGAAACATACATTGACTTGGTCGTGAAGGAACTTAATGTAATCAACGGCTTCCTGAAGAACGGATGCTGTGTCGGTCTGTGATCAACAAGAATATAATATCTGGGTGAGTTTTTTACTTTTTTTACCTTTAAACGTCGTCAAGAAAGTAATTAAAGATTTCGATTCTAGCATAGTCGTAATTAAAAAATAAAATAAAAAAGTGAAAGAGACATATCTAAAAAATTTCACCTTTCCGAAAGGTGAAACTAATTGCTGAAGAGCAGTGACCCGGTCCCCTAGCTTCTCTTTCCGAACCTGTCCATACATGTCAAGTTGATTAAAATCTAAAGTGAAATTATGATAAAGTTGAACAATGTTGTTGCATAGTGAAAAAGGGTTTGATGAAAAAGAAAATGTATACTATAACAGTACAATACCTTAAAAGTTGGTAATGGGGATGGAGTTTCAATTCTTGGCCTCTTTAATGGTGGTTCACAAACATTTTTCTTCGCCATTGATGCTGAGTCTAGAGTTTCTTCACCGTTGAGCTGCACTTTCAATATATATATTTTCACTATAGTCCCCCATAGAAAACCCTAGCTAGACATGGATATTGGATATATATATTTTAATGAACTTAAAAATTTGTATATATTAATTGAAACATATACGTACCTTGTTTAATAGAGTTCTTGGGCAATTGGGTTTCTCTTCATCAAAGGTTGGCGTTTGATATTGCGATTGTGGTGAAGCAAAAGTACCTGCTCTTATGTCGTTAAGTGCCTCGGCGGAAGCATTCCAGAAAGTGGTGTTGTTGGAAAAGGGAAGTCCAATAGGGTGGTTCTTTGCAATTGGTGTGGGCTTCAAAAAAGTAGAGACTTTAGGCCATGTTGGAGGTAGTTCAGTGCAGGGTGTCCCATAAGTTGCTTTTGATGAATAGGACATGGGACGGTTGGTGAAAAGTGAGTGCTGAGGTTGTGGATGAGGATGAGGATCAGGGTCATATAATAAGCCTTGTAACGTTGAAGGGTTACCATATGATGAGGCTGATCCAATTGATAACCCTGTAGTGCTTGTTAAAGAACTCAGACTCTGGTGGTGATCTGCGCAAAATTCCTTGTTCAATGGCTTGAAATTATCATCAATTTCGTTTCCACCACCAGAGGAGAAGCTCTTTGGGATCCAATCCCTTTGTGAATAATTAGAAGAATCTATTCCCGTTTCTTCCTGAAGCATGGAATGGAAATTGCTCTCTGCCCTTCCATTACAACGACTATAGGATAAAAAAAAGACAAAACATATGGTCATGGTTACGACTAGGAGAATCCAATAGGGAAA